GCAAAGTATTTAATTTCTCGGATAACGAGGCTATGTGTTGTTATTGTAAACAGTTTAAGTAAATATTTTTGTTTTTATTGAAAGACTTAGGAATACAAACAAGTTCTTACCCTTGGTGTAGTAAAACCCGGAGAGTGTGCGAGGGAATTGGGGGACCAGACGTAGGCCATGATTTAGTGACCATTATTTAGTTGTACATGCTCCATCGTCGACTACTTCATTGACACTTTCCAATATGTGAGATATAAGACAAATGCTCACTTACTTTTTTATTTATTCATTTATTTTCAAGGGATAACAAATATTAGTACATGTTATGTTTACGTTCAATCAACAATATTATCCACAAATTACTATTAAAATTAAAATAGTCGTATGTGGGTGTAAGTGAATGAAATAGAAATTAGCTCAGGGCTTCAATAATAGTTTTTTTAAATTTACAAGCAGGTAAGTAAAATATGTCAATAACACTAGACAAATCATTGTACTCTCTTGCCAGCATTTGTTCCGTAGCGCGCCGTTTTATACAGCGGGTGGGAGCGCGTACGTCGTCGATGGACTCTCATGGGTACATTGTATTTAATATTTTGCTTTGTTATTGTGACAGTCTATGGAGTGTTACAGCTTGAAGAAGCATTCGTCTATTATGAAGTGTTAGCATTCTAAACTCAGGCAGTAAGTTCTCGTGTGTGTAGTTCTTCTAAATATTTTGTAATTTACCAACTTGAGGCTAAAATTGAATTGAATTTTTTTTTAAATAAATAAGTCACATGCCATCATTCGTCAACCGTACTTTTATCATCCTCTAAACTTTTATCACATCAAAGCCGTAGATAATATTTCCAAGCGCCTGTCTACACCAGGGAACACCTGGAAATTTACACCAGACGAGGGGGAGGACATAATCATGAGCTACGTAATAAACACAGGGTTGCACCCGTTCAGCATATTTTATCCAAAACGGGCAAATTAATATCTACCTGTATTGGGCCAGACAGTATACTGTCTCTTGAAATTGTTGATTCCGCTTCATACAACTTATTTAAATGCTGATTAAATTAATCAATACTTATATATAATTTATCACATTGGTTAAATAATATTAATATGGGATAATTAATTATTTTTGAATGTAACTAGAATAGCAATATAGGAAAATAATGCGAATATAATTTAATTTTTTTTTTTGTAAATGTTAATTTGACCGATAGAGAATCTCTATGTCTAATACGAATAATATGAAACAAATTATGTATAATATGTGAATTTAGTATTCAAGCATAAAAAGTTATTTCCTAATTTCTTTCGTAGAATTTATAAACCTTTCTCCTAAAACGTTCATTTTGCAGATGTGACCTTATTACGTATTATACCGACTATAAAGATCTTGCAACAAGCACGTAGTAAAATTCGTGAGGTCCGCTGGTTCGTTCTGTGGCTTAGTTGGTCCTTATGTGGTCTGTGGTTGGTATAGAGTCTGGCACGGTTTGCTACTAGACGTCGGTTCGAATCCGACCAGATCGAAGAATTTTTTTCTAAGTGATGTTTGTATTAATAATGTTTGATTGATCAAAAACCATTATACAGTTTTGAAACTGGTATACTGAATGTAATTTACATGACACCTTGTTGAAAACTTGAATTTGCTAAACCAGGGAAACCTTTTTCTTTGATGACAACAGTATCCTTCACTATTAATGAGTGGTAATTGCTATTTAACATTAAAAAACGTACAGTAGACATTTTTAGTAATTCAGGAAGTACTGCCACTATTTACGCCGCCAAGCAGTAACGTAAGCATTACTAAACTAAGTCCAAACTCATGGTACCACGTTTTTGTTTAACTAAGGTAAACGATGCTTTTGTGGGATACTGTATACGTTTTTACAATTTCCAGATTCCGGAGCATATATTAAGATTACCATTTCCTAAGTTTAAAACTTACATTAAAAGTATTTTAATTGAAAAGTCACATTACAAAATTGTAGACTGCGTGTTAGATAAGGATGTATGGAAAGACAACATGACTCTAGATTCCACGAAATGTGATTCAAAATATATTTATATATAGCATTTAAATTTATTTGAAAAGAGCAACCTCTAGAGTTTCTTGCTCGTTCTTCTCAGGGAAGTCGGCATAGTTTGAAAACTTTACCTATGGAATAAATAATTATTTGAATTTGACTGCGTTTTGAAATTACAGGCACATGGGACTTGTGTCTGAGTTCATGTCTCAGGGTGGCGGTTTATAGGCGTGTCGCTCACAACCAGGCGCACGACTTGTTCATCCCATCACTTGATATCATAAAAAAAATATGTCATAATTGCTATAACTACATGCCTTGTTAGAGACTTACCCGTACTCTCACTGGATTACGACAGCTCCCTGAATAGTGGTAATTATTGTTTAATATACTACATTTGAGAACCACAGATACGTTTGTTCTCATGCGAAATACAATCACTAGTTTTTGTCCGCGTTCAATTGAATGCCGCGGTAGATGTGCATGCAGCTACTATGAGAGCGGGAAACGAGCCTGCCACCCAGCTCCAGTGTCGGAAGAGATCGAGTTCCTATTGCAATCAGAGCGAAACCAATTTCGGGTGCTATTCGAATTACCGACCAATACAAAACGTAATTGATACTTATTACGGAATTTAGAACCCGATATTTCGTTATCGGGTTCGTTTACAATCCTTGCAATATCTTAAATGGAATGATGACAAGTCTAAACTTAGGAACTAGAATCAATCCGTGTACAAGCACCAAAAATAATAAAAAACCTTCAAATTTAGTTTGTTCAAGCTTTGTACTTTGGACCGTTCTTATCGTAAGCGGCATAGAGTTGGATTTGAATCTTAAGTGTCAAGCTTGATTGCTCTTGACCCTGTATGTACTAAACATGAGCCGTGGTAGCCTGAGGCTCAATTTATATTACGGCGGAACGGAATGGAAGCGAATTTTGTAACGATATTGTACATAGAATAATGAACTTTATGGTCAATTGTGCAACGTACAAACTAGATACGAACCAAAATATTTCACGGAATTTTTGCGCATGCTCGAGACGCATTCCGCGAAAAATTTTAGCTCTTATCTATTTTGTACGTTACATAATTGCCTATAAAGGTCATTACGCTAATATCGTTACAATAGCTTCCACTCCGTTCCGCCGCAATATAAATTGAGCCTAATGGTTTCATTTACGGTGTTGTGTGCGAAATTTAATTCGTGATCTGTACATCAAAGAAGGTTCACAGCCCTCGAAAAGCGTATCAAGGTCCCACGCATTAGGCGAACGTTAAGGACTATAGCCTAAATGCTCGCCTGAAAAGAGACCCGTGAAATATGAATGGTGAAATGTGCACCGCGAGTGTCGCCGATGAATGTGGTGAACGACGTAAAATGGGCGTGGCGACAATATGTTTAATTGAGTATAGTAACACTATAAGCATATTTCACATCTACTATATTTTAATGCAATTAAAATTAATTACGATCCTGTCAACGTACATTCCATTCGAATTAGATGAATGAATGAATGAATGAAAAGTTAAAGACAACCGTGTAACTCTAGGACGCTAGAGTACCTTCCAATACACTGTGTGTCTCAAGGATGCGTGTATCACTGGTTTTTTTTAATAGGTACTTGAATTTTTTAAATTTTTAAATACTTTTAAGCAGTAGTAGAGACCCTTGTTAAAGAGTTCGTCCACGGAAGTACTGCCACCTTACCTATTTCTGCCGTCAAGTAGTAATGTTAATATTACTGCGTTCCGGTTTAGAAGAGTAAGGATGCTAGTGACATCACAGGCACATGGGACTTGTCAAGTTATGTCTCATGGTGACGGGCGTAGTGGCAGTGCCCCTCAGACCTTTGCGATTTAAAGCTCTGAGTGGCACTGCAACTGTTATGGACAGGCGTGTAGCTTATCATAAGGCGCACGAGTTGTTCGTTCACTCACTTGATATTATAGAACAAAAAAACTTGAACAATATTTGCCACGCCGATTTCATGCCGGTCAAGAAGCGTATAGAAGCCGCGGTGCGGCGCGACTTGGCGATGGACATGTCTTATTTATTTATTTATTGGTTCAGCAACAGCTTAACACACTTAACATTTACATACATTACTATAATAACACTGGTGTGTGAGCCAATTACAGCCGACCACAATATTGCCATAATCACTTAAAACAACATAATTAAAAAAATTAACTATTCATAAATTTTTCTATTCATAACAGAGTACCAAAAAAACCGACCTCAAAAGTTACTCCCCTAGTTAGTCCTCTAGTTTTCCACCCTTAGATGTAGAATATTTTCTTTAAATTTAGACCACTACTGAGGTATTCTCTTCCCAACAAAAAATTAATCATCAAAATCGGTTCGCAAATGAAGGCGTTATTGCGTAACATAAATAAATACATACAAAAAAAACGTGCTGTTGAATTGAGAACCTCCTCCTTTTTCAAGTCGGTTAAAATATACATTTAATTCCTATTGTTTGCATCAGATTAAAAATGAAAATATAAAATATTATAAAAAATTAAATATAAAAAGCTTCTTTATATTGTCATAGCTGCATCGATACAATCGATGATTCCGCCAATGTATTAGCTACCAATATTTAACGAGTGGGGCGCGACAACTTTGTCCTTATGACGGGGTAAACTGTCAAAATATGTGTCAAGATGTGCACGATTACTCAGGTTATTCTAGTTGGAAAGCATCCTGGACACCGAGAATGTCTCATTAAATTTGAACATATCGCTATTGTAAGCCACAGGTTTCTTTTAAGAAGAGTACAATTGGGCCATATTTTAGTGTTTACTCGTATAACTGAAATCAATTAAATATCAAAGCAAATTTTCCGAAATCAATACTTCGAATGCTGAGTTATCATTACACGAAATTACAGCACGCAATTTTGACGTACAACACGCTCTGTTCCAATTCAAGTCACTGTGAACGTCATTGTCGCCCAAATCACTTGAAAATGATTTATAAATTCGGCATTCGCTTGTTTCTCGCTAGTGTTTTGTTTCGATATTGCGAAGCAGGATTCCCGCGAAACCTAGCCTGGACTGGAGGTCCTGTACATACGGAATGTGAGCACAGTGCAAAAACGTTAATTAGTAGTGGGCAATATATTAAAGACAATGTCGTTGCTACAAAAGCTGTAACGTTCAACGATGACGTGTACATATTGACGCCCAGGTAAGCGTGGGCCTACTTATTTATTAAATTTAAACAGTGCGTAGGAATATATCATTCCTAACCCTTTCATGGACTATACATAAATACCGCAATAAGTACTGCAAACAAAAATGTCAGTACTTTTTTTATATTATTATATCATGTAACGGAACGAACGACTTGTTCGTTGCGATGACAGTGCACTTGGCACATGAAAAAAAGATACAGGGAATCTGTCTAAGGAACCATTAGGTCTTTTTAACCGACTTCAAAAAAGAAGGAGAAGGTTCTCAATTCTACTGTATGCTTCTTTTGTATGTATGTTACGCGATAACTCGGCATTTGTGAACCGATTTTGATGATTCTTTTTTTGTTGGAAAGAGGGTTCCTCAGAAGTGTTCCCATTTAAATTGAGGTCGGTTTTTCATTACTCTGTACCGATTGTTATTTGTCAAAACAATTTTAACTTTTTCGACTCAGTTTGTTGTAAGGATCATTGTGTTGTATCGTAAAAAATCAGAACAACAGATCTCGATTATATAATTATATTGTTTATATTTTTGATACAAAGTGACGGGACGAACAAGTCATGCGCCTGGTGTTAACCGACACACCTGTCCATAATAGTTATAGTACCACTCAGAGCTTTAAATCGCAAAGTTCCGAGGGGCACTGCCACTGCCCCCGTCACCCTGAGTAACAAGTCGTATGTGCCTGTGATTTCACCGGCACGCTTCAAAACCGGAACGCAGACATGTTCACGTTACTGATTGGCGGCAGAAATAGGCAGATGGCAGTACCTCCCTGGACGAACTCTTTCACAAGTATGCTACTGCTATGAAAAGTTGTATAAAATGTTCAATGTTTGTAAAAAATGTTGTTGATACTTGTCTGTTAAAAAGCTGTAAGCGGCAACTACACATAAAGCACTTTAAAATTGCACTGTTAAGCCCGTAGTTGGTTTTTTAAGATCGAAACGGGATACCCGGTACTGTCATATTCTAATATTTAATTTTACGGTAAACGCTGTTGCTGTCCGTCCATGAACAGGAACGTTTTCGAGCTTTTAGTACCCGTAAAAGTCTACAGATTCAAATTCAAAATACGTTTCTGAGATAACAGCGAGCGAAGCTAGGCTAAGTTAGCTAAATGAGCCGTAGCCGCGGCATCACACCGCGAACAAAGCTAACCGAGCTAAGGTCGCATACGCGGTGTGGCCTGCGCTTTATAAGCAAAACAAATGCACGGGCACACTTAGCGAAACAAAAAAATGAGAATTCGTATTCTATACTAACGTTTTTAAGGTAAAAAAATCTAAATTAAAGAAAGTGCTTTTCTGTAAGATTTCGTAACAAATCAGAAACAGCTGAGAATGTATAAATTGTAATAGTTTAACGTTTATTCTTAGAATAATAACGCATAGAAACCTAGCCCGCACACGCTAAGTGAGGCAAATTGAAGCGCTCCTAATGGGCCTATACGAGCGGGCGGGCCGTCAGTGCTCAAAGTTAACTTGCACCGCGAAAAGTTCAACAATTTTAGCTAAAAGTGACGAAGTGTGCGGTAAATGAGTGTAAAAATACGTCAGACAAACATAAAATAGATACTAACATCACATTCCACGAGGAAGTAATGCGTTTCAACTTGTATTTTTATATAAATATTCACTAAAACCGGAAAGGAACTTACTACTAAAACTAGCCTACATGAATTTGACTTTTGCCTCACTTGTGACAGTTTGTTTGATATGAAACTATCATTCTATGCGTTATTATTCTAAGCGTTTATTAAATCAAACATTAATAAATATTAAAATAAATTTAACTAAAGTTTATGAAAAACCAGATCGCATAATTAACATTGAACCACTCAAAAAATCTGTATTAGTAGAAAATTAAAACAGATTAATGAAAAAAATGTTGTCGTCTAATTTTTTATCTTCTTATTAAACACAAAAGAAAAAATGGATTACGTGACCAATCTTTTCAAAAAACTTGCATTATTTTGTGGATTTTACCAGTGTTCCGTTAAATGTACCGTAAGTGTATATTAAGAAAATAGTATTCATTGTGACGGCAATATTTGTTGCTCTGCCAATCCAAACTACTATATTAAATACGAAAGTAACTCTGTAACGTTTTTAACCTAAAACTCTGAACCAATAATGATGAATTTTGATACAGAGATAGATGGGATCTAGGACAAGGACATAGGCTACTTTGAGGACTTATCACCAGCTGGTTAGAAATAAAATATTGTAACTTTTTTTGCACACACTCATAGCCCCGCACTAGGGAGAACCTGTATCGCGGGTAATATAATAACTAATATATTACCTTAGAATAATAACGCATAGAATGATAGTATCATATCAAACGAACAGTCACAAGTGAGGCAAAAAACAAATTCATGTAGGCTAGTTTTAGTAGTAGGTTAAGTTTCGGTTTTAGTGAATATTTATATAAAAATACAAGTTGAAAAGCGTTACTTCCTAGTGGAATGTGATGTTAGTATCTATTTTATGTTTGTCTGACGTATTTTTACACTATTTACCGCACAATTCGTCATTTTTAGCTAAAATTCTTGATCTGTTCTCGGTGCAAGTTGATCTTGAGCACCGAAGGCCCGCCCGTTCGTGTAGGCCCATTGAGTGCGCTTCAATTTGCCTCACTTAGCGTGTGCGGACTAGGTTTCTATGCGTTATTATTCTAAGTATATTACATTAAAAAAATGTAATATATCAGTTATTAAAAATAGCATGATAAACCGAATCGATTAATATACAATCCTTGTTTTTACAGAGTACCCGCAGCGATGGTCACAAAAAAATTTCATGTTTTTGTATACCCCAATGATAATTAGAATGTATGGACAACGGCACATCAGACCACACATGTTTGTTCGAAAATCGCCTCCAGTGCAACGAAACAAAATACTTCAATGTGTAGCTTGATGTACTGGCGTACTTACACCTATTGTAGACATAACTGTACCCAATAGCGAGTAGAATAAGGATATATTATGCAATTTTTATGAACTATTCTCCTTAAAGGCTCTTGTTATTTAAAATTTCAGATTTAAAAGCGGAGTTCTATCGACAATATGGTTGATAGTGCGTGGGCGTCGCTGTGTCGAACTCCAGCCGTTTCCAGAGCAACACTCGCATTCTTTAGGAGACTGCAACCAAATACAAAACGCTATTGACTTCTACCTAGATTATTTAGTAAGTAAATAATAGCAGGGTAATTTTCTGGTTAGTTTTCTGTGCCTAATTTCGGTAATTGAACGGTTAATCAATTGAATATTCCAGATTATTTTTTACAATAACAATCGACGGAACGAACAAGGCGTGCGCCTGACGGATTGCGACAGGCCTATCCATGACAATTGCAGTGCCACTCAGAGCTTTAATTCGTAAATAACTGAGGGGCAATTCTACTGCTCGTGTCACCCTGAAACTTAAGTCGACAAGTCCCATGTGCCTCTAAATTTCACCATTACCCTTAACCCTTCAAAACCGGAACGCAGTAATGCTCACATAACTGCTTGGCGGCAGAAATAGGTAAGGTGGCAGTACTTCCCTGGACAAACTCTTTCACAAGGAGCTCTCCTTCTATAAATCAATCTTATTGTACTGTTATAATATACAGCGTTTTTTTTAAATAGGACAAGGTAACTAACTGTCTTAGGAACATAGGGCATAGTAAATTTTTTGGCCAAGCGTGAGATGTCCATAAAATAAATAAAACAAATGATTTTAGTGCTGATCGACTCAGTTTTATGAAGGGATCATTTCGTTTTTATAGGACGAGACCAATTGGGACAGGAGAAGTTGGTCAAATTTAACAAAAAAAATTTCATACAAAATTAATAACACTTTATGAAATTTCACCAACTTCTACTGTTCGCTGCAAATATAATATGTATTTGTAGTGAACAAGCGACCATTGACCAATCAGTGAGTCCATTCGTTACTTCTTATTATTTTAGTGAGAGAAACAATTAAATTAATATACGAAAAGCAGCTTAACTCAACAAAATACGATGTATAACAACTAAGTACATGATTAATGAACCTACTTCATTGTTCCAATAATAATTAACAATCATAGCAAATATGTATGTGTGAAAACTCCAATCATTCCGCTGCCATACATGTTTCAATGTGTCTTTATTAAGCTTGCTATGTCGCAAATAGAGCAATGAGAACAAAAGACTGCCATGCGTGGGTGCGACCCCATGAGAGCTAATATTTTCGCAATATATTGCTTCATCGATAGTTTAACTACCATATACGGAAGACTTATTAAACTTGAAACAATGTTATTAGATAAAAAAACAGTTGCAAAACAAAAAGGAATCAATATGCTCTTTTACTGATTCGGTTGGACGGAATTCATTCGATCAAAATATGTTTCAATACTGCAATTAAATGGTGATACTCTATGAACGCTATATAAGAGAAACAGTAGAACAGCTTGTGAAAGTGTTCATCCAGGGAAGTGCTGCCTTACCTATATCTACCGCATTATTGCGTTTCGGTTTGGAAGGAACAGGTTACATGGAACTAATTACGAAGGCTGCGGGCGGAGGACTTAAAAAAAAACCAAAAAGATTTTATAAAAACTAAAATTTAATAGAAATTATTCCTAAACTAATTACAAGTGTTTGCGTTCGATGCTAGAATTACAATATCATAAAAACATATAATTAATAATTAATTTAACAAACTAGGTTACATGAGTTTCGAAAATGCTGATGCGACGCCTGATTGCTGCATTTTGGAATCGGTGTAACAAACTTGTCAACTCAGGGTGACGGGCGCAGTGGTAGTGCTCCTCAGATCTGTGTGATTTAAAGCTTACCGTAAGAAAACAAATATTATCTTATTATTAATACATTAGCGTTCGATCTTTGTATTAATAATTATAACAAACTTGTGGAGTAATTTTACAAAAATAATTTAATGTCATGGAGTTCGAATATCGTGACATTCAATATCTAACTCAAAAAGTCTAAAAGCGTCTGCCACGGTTTGCTGGAAAACGTAGATTCGAAACCAGCCGGATCGAAGAATTTTTTCCAAATGTTGGATCTTTGTATTAATAATTATAACAAACTAGTGAAGTAATTTCGCAAAAATAATGGTCAAACATCGTGACATTCAATAACTTAAAAATTACAATTATTATCTTACCAAAGAGCGTATAAATGGAAACAAGCAACTATTTGTTCTTTCGTATTTTATGAAATCAGCATCTTGGAACTCTGTGTCAGAAAAGTATATTGCTATTAGCGAAATAAAAACCTGTAAACTATATCGGCAATAAGATGAAAAGAAAAAAGTTGTCATAGCACTAAGGATGAGAACCGGACACGTTTTGCCTTTTTAATGAAAAAAAAAAAATTCTCCAAATTTTTCTGCGTAATTATCATGCGGAGTAGTGGAACATGCATATCACTTGTTACTGGAATGTGTCCGATACCCGTAATAGCGGACGGTGTTGATGAGCAACTTATTGATGCTTTAAATTGTATACTGGGCAACCTGGGCAACAGTCATATAAAAGCTTGAAACTATTTATTGAATCGGCTCTCCAGCGCCACCCAAACATGTAAGCTGTAGATTAGATTACGATGGAATTATCACATACATTGGGGTGCGTACAGATCTGGCGAATGCGCCGCGAACGCGCTGCACGTGCGCTGCACGCGTGCTGTATGCGTGCACTTAAATACATGTTAATATAATATGTGGCGCGCGAGAGGCGCTCGAACGGCAAGATCGCACAACGCAATACACGTATGCAGCTCGCGTGCCTTTCGTAGACAGGCGCATTTGCCAGATCTGTACGCACCCTTGTATAAATATTCCTAAGTAAATAAAGATTAAAAGAAATAATAAATATAAACCTCCTCAACTTAAATAGATAAATTATTTGACTACAGGGAAACCTATGGATACTGGACAGCGGCATTGTGGAAACCTCAGAACATCCTCGCTGTACCTGCAGACCGAAGGTGGTGGTGCTAAGCATTCTGCTGAAGAAGTTCACAAAGCAAATCCAACTGTCTGGTCTGGTAGTGCAGACTTCTAATCTGCAGAACATTGTGGTGGAGCATGCATTCGGAGGGCCTTTTGTGTAAGTTACCCAAAACTATAAAATACCTTCAGAAAACATTAGAAATAATAATTGCGAAAAAGTTGCACGACTTATAACTAGATACTTTTGATGGTTGCACAATTGACTCAAATAAATCCATTTACTCTGTTTTTCACATTTAACTATAATTGTAAACGTAGCGCAACACTGAGCCACTACAAAGTAAGGGTCCTGATAACGAATTCACGTATTAACTGCATGCAGTCGAAATCGACTTCATGCTGCCGAGATCGACTGCATGCAGCTAGTCGATCTCGGCTAGTAGTGTAGGTCTTTCAACTGTAACTGAACATTTGCAACAAAGATATTTTAATAATATGAATACTAGGTATACTGTTAGCATTTTCAAAGTAGATACTGTATATTTATCACGTACCCTTCAGCAGACTAAATTAGGAGTAACGTGTTGTTTTTTTAATAGATAATAAATATAACATGGGCGTGCGCACATCACCTAGTAAGTTATTTAAACTATAGCCAAATGGGGTCAATTTTAATAATAACAGTTAGTAAAACGCACCTATAAGCCAAAATAATAAATAGTATGTAGTAAAATTTTTCGTCGTTACAGAAAGGCTAAGGTTAATTAGCCACACTGCCCAGATCTTATATTTAAATTTCTCTTCAATCGTTTAATTAATTTACTAACATTTTATCACTGGAAATCTTTATGTTGTTCCAAAAAAAGCAAAAATACTTGTTCAATGTTCGACCACTTTTCTGAAGTCGATATGTCAAAACAATAAAAAAACCTGTGCGATAATAATATCTGAATGAATGTCAAAAACTATAAGAGGTTTTTTTTAATAACGCACACACATTCAATATACACATACAACTATACAACATACAAATAGGGAAACCCTGGGTCACGGGTGCCATGGACACACACATAGACAACCACAAATTACACCCAAACTCACGAGGGAAATAAATGTAAGCCATGCAAATATTTCTCCCGGTCCGGGAATCGAGACAGGAGGCACGGAGGCTTAATGTCTATAACCACATAATGGACCGCAGACTTGGCTTGTACCTATCTACCCAAAACTAGCATTAGAAAAATTCACCAATACTTGGCTGTATGGTGTTAAACCTTTTCCTTAACCTATATGGTGTTAATTCTTTTCCTTAACGGGAGGAATTTAAAAAAAAATGAAGGCAATGAAGTCAAGGTTTGCCGTGAAATTCGGCATATTGTGAATTCCGACACTGTAGAGGTAGGTAGTACATTTCTCTATAAAGTTACACGGTGTAATAAGTATCAATTTAGAATCAAAACCTAAAAGAATTACGAAAGTGTAAATCTATTAGGTAATAAGCGCCAGACATGATTCGTATATCAAAGATCAAGGTTTTGCCTTGAAATTGTCAATTAAATACAATACCTAGATTATACCAATGTGATTGATTGTTACTTTTCAACAATTTAAACTAGCTTAGTTAATAAGACCTGAACAAAAACACACACTCATATATTTTGTTTATTTGTGTGAATTGGTTAGGTTTTATGCCTTAAGCGAACATACCCTAATAAAGTCCTCGGTCCAAGGCCAATGTAAGGCAGAAGTAGATTGTATATAATTGACACAATATTCAGAAAGTAATTTATTATAATATAAATAAAGGGTCGTAATCCCAATACATCCCTTCTAACTCAGTGTTTTTGAAATAATTATTACAATGAACCATTTTATTAACAAATTATTATGAATTCCACATTAATATTAACACCATGGACACCTTACATTTCATGTTAAAACTTTTTTGAAAACAAACTGAAATTATCAAAAGTCTCAGTTATGCTTAGAGGATGGAAAAAAATAAAGGACAGGAGCTGCCTTATCTACGGAATAAACGTACCTACCTAAACTTAAATTGTACCATAATCATAAATAAGTCAATATCGACATGCAAATGTATGACTTGAATGCTGAAACTGTTTTTTTGTTTGCAAATTTCCTGTAATCAAAGTATGATTAATACTAGGCTATTATTAAGGCAAGTAATGAGCCACTTTGATCAAAATTAAATATAAAGTTATTTACCAATAAATGTAATGATGGAATTGCATTATCATGTAATCTATTTACATTCAAAGTTGTATTAAAATTTGACTTCAAAATGGAGCGATCAAACGAAGATGGTATTAGATCCAATGTTTATGTTCGGCAGTCCTACAATTTCCAACCATTCTTTCTTTCTTTTTTCATTTGTAGGTAAACTTTAAAAATAATAATAATGAAATAATAAAAACCTCGTAGTGAATTATTTTAATAACAGAATATCGATAATATGTCTGCTTACAAGAACAACACTATATCAAAATAATCGTTATCAAAAATCATCAAAATATACTAACAAACAGGCAATGTAAAGTAACCAAAGCAAAATTCGGCAAGACTTATGAATAAACTAGGTACTTAAATGCGTCTAATTACATGAGATACTTTATGTATGATTATGGGCAATTGTATGTATGATTTATAGGCAGAAAAATAACAAATGCCGATGTAATGTAACACTTGGTTGATTTCCGATTTTCTACTGCCGCACCCCTTAATGCTGCAGCGACGCATTTTTATCAATACTTAATTGTTCTCACTGTCAATATTTTTGTCTATTTCATTACAATTCATGCGAATAATTCACTAAAACATTTGGCCAAACATTGGTTTTGACATTTGATGTACTTCCTTTTGACAACCGGAAACGGTTGAAATGAGTACAGTTGGCATTTAAGATGACGTTACGTATTTTCGATTCCCGTGTTTGACATAAATGAATGTAGTGCTATGTCTTTTGGCTTATGACGGCACGCAGTAGTTAAACAAAGACAAAATGTTTATGTTTTCACCGTCTAAATGCATCATACATTTATAAGGTCTGATTTATATATGTCAATATAACATGTCCTTTGGTTTCCATAGTCTAAGCAGTTATGACCTTAGAGCACATAGGACTGGAGGCTTCGTCGATAGGAAGTCCCCTCTGTCAAGGAACAAGCAAAAAAATCCATATCACAATAGACACTACTTTAGAATGGATGTTTTTTCATTTGCATTATCAAATTCACCGCGTCAAGTGCTCCATGAAATATGTTGTCTTGCGCCATACAAACTTGCAAAAAAATTTGCTACATCCAGCTCGCCAAGGGTTTCAATACGTTTTTAACCAGTACGTATTACATATCGACACCATCACGTCGACAACTTTCGTCTCTAGCATATTCATGAGATTCGATTTTTTTTATAGGCCTATTCTGTGTACGGACATGTCATGAATGTATGTTTTATCTGTGTATTTGTAAAAATAAACTAATGTTGTCGATTTTTGTTTTTGAGAGACCATTTGAGTGACACAACTAAATATTGCATTTGAGTGCACCTGTTTGCTTGTAGTATTCCCCCCGCTCCCCTAAAAGTGGCAGAAAGTTTTCTTCGAGAAATATCGCTAATAGCGCCTTGCTCTAAGGTTATCATACCGACTACACAAAGTCATAATACCGAATAAAGCAATTCACCTCGACTTGACTGTCTGGTTTTAAACGCCTTTTTACGGAAACAAATAAAAAACCACAACAAGCAATTTAATAAAATTCAGCTGACCATGGTCCTGAATTAAAATATACCTCAGTAGTGGTCCTATTTAAACTTGGGGTAAATGTTCCACCTCTTAGGGTGACAAACAAGGGGAAAAATTACTTTTGATTTCGGTTTTTAAATACCCTGTATTGAGGTAATTTTAATTTTTAAATCGCGTATTCCACAATTTTATGTTGATGATGATGTTCTAATTTTTTTTATGCAGCTACATTTCCGATGCCTCCCGCGGGGCCATTCTTGTCCACGACGCATCATCTGGCGAACAACGGGCAGTACTGGCCTGTGCCCCAACTCTCGGCCTTCATATGGCATTGGTGAAGAAAGGGTTAGTACAGTCCGTGCTGGTACTAACTAGAATGCAGGATGGACGAGTACTAGAAGTGAATACCAATGCTTTGAAGAGAAAGGAGGCAGGAATTGCCCTTCGAGGTAAAATTTCAGTCTATTTACGCCTATTATATTCAGGTCGCGTTCCCAATAAGTCGTGACAACAGATAGTCGTGCCACTTTAAAGTGTCGGGGTTTGTATATTTCAATGAAGTTGTTCACATATAGAACAACAACATGATTAACTGTCGTTCACGACTTTTTTGACGATACGATGACGGACTGTCATGACAATGGAAAGAGCTATAACGACAATCGTCAGATGATAAATTAAACGTCACGATCAAATGTGACGACAGATAATCGCACCTTCAAACGATTATATTATATTAATTTATTCATAATACAATATACAATTGTGTTTGAATGTCAACGTATAACTAATTAAACAATTTACTTTATACAATAAAATAATACAATAATAATTTACAACATTGTCAATTAATTGATTTAAAATTCTTCATCTACACTGACTTACAAACTGAGTAGCAGTATTTTTCCAATAATAAAGATCTCAATTTTTGTTGGAAAATGTTTTTGTCATTTATAATTTTAAGGTCTATGCTCAATTTATTAAACAATTTAACAGACATACTAGGGACAATGCGTCAATGTTTAATTTGGGATCGATAACATTTTTTAAATATTTCCTATTTGTAGTTTCTCTTGCACTTTGCTCTATATTTGACTCAAAGTTCCTTCTTCTTTGTAAAAGTCTATACTTCGTAGATTCTGTCATGCAAACGAGGAGGCGGGTGCCGTGAACCGATAAATTGTCGTCGCGATCTAGTGGAAACAGCTAGACACGACAGTCGTTCAATGATAAAATTAACGTTCACGACACAGTCACGACAGATAGTCGTGATATGTGAACAGGCTAGACGCGACAGTCCAACGATAAATAAAATGTTACGACGCAATGGAAACACACCGTGACGCTGAAGCTGTGTTCTCCAATATTCTTTTCTCGTTTGTAACTAATAATTATCTACAGAAAAAAACCTAAAATGCTCGTTGTAACATAGTATAACAAGATAAGTATAGTAACGTGTCTGGAACGCCTTCATAAAGTTGCCTTATCGGTATTCTACAACATACATTACGGAGAGTGTGCGATGAAATTGCACGATTAAATTCCGCCGCTGCCTTACCATCATCAGGGGACTAGACGTAGGCTTGGGATCCACCCCTATGTTGTGGATATTCCAAAGATTCGCACGAAGCGTTCCGCCTCCACATTTATTTGGTGGACTGCTATGGAGTGGAATTCCTTGCCCGCAGACAGACATATTCCCTGAACGCTATAACGTGGGTCTTTTCAAAGCGAGAGTGAATAGACATTTTTTTTTATATGATACCAAGTGACGAGACGAACAAGTCGTGTGCTTGATGGTAAGCGACACGCCTGTCCATAACATTTGGAGTGCCACTCAGAGCTTTAAATCACAAAGATCTGAGGGGGCACTGCCACTGCACCCCTGCCTGTAATTTCACCAGCACTCTTACCCTTCAAAACCGGAACGCAGTAATGCACACGTTACGGCTTGGTGGCAGAAATAGGTAAGGTGATAGTACTTACCTGGGTTTCACTATTTGGGTAGTTTTTTATAATATCAAGTGACAGTATACGAACGCATACATTCGCATGATGTTGCGGTGCACTCGCGTTGCATAACGCAGGTCGTCTCCCGCGACATTAATTATAGAATTGAAGCGTTCGCTCGGTGTTTAAAAAAATGACATTAAATACTACACGTATTTACTGTTGTGTTTGTGGTAGTTTGAACAAGAGTGCCTCATATTCAGAATTGTTCAACATTCCCTTTCTATTTCATAATCATACTCTTTAATCAAGACACCAATCTGTGATCCTGGTATAAAAATATCAATACGTAATGTACCTATTGCATTTAACAAAGATTATTGCACGATAGTACTGCGATGAACACCTTTTTTTTTTCAAACTATGCTTACAACTTCTAGGTACAACTAAAATAATAATGTAACAACCCTACACTCCGAGCGAAGTGTATGTGTATACGCGCCGAACATTGTTCGCCGGAAGTTGCCTTACTCGCTCTTATTATGATTGTAGTCTCGAACTACCTAAAGCAGTAAATACTTCTTTACAGGATTTTTTTTACGATGTAACTACCTGTTTAGTTACTCATGTACATTATATTTACTCAAATGGTATGTAGGGAGGTATCCTTCCTAAGCCTTTCCAAAGTAACCTTACGCTAGTAGCCCTGTGTCATCAAATGTCAAGTAACTATCGAAAGGTCTTGTTTCGTGCAATTAAGGGTCTATACAACAACCTCAAATGGCTTTGGTTGATTCCGTACTAAAGTGAAAGTAGTGAATCAATCATGTTGGAAAAAATATATAGTAAAATTGGGGATACACACTGATTACTATAAGGTGTGAAAACACGATTCATAAAAAATTTAACTGTAGAAATTAAAATACAAAATTACCTCGAAATTTGACAAGCAAACTGCTGTATTCAATGGGTACTTTGCATATAGCAATAATTATTTTTATGGCCAGGCTAAATAAGTAAGTCAGTCGGTAGAGCACTATGGGTATTTATTACTATAAAAAGCGGGGCACAGTGATATTACATAGATTCTACGACGTAAGTAAATACTTATAATAGGAACGAATACAAAATTACAGCAGAAAAGACGCGTGCACATTAAAGACTTCTAATTCGAACCAGTGTTTGACGCGAACTTTTTGGATACTAACTGGAGCGCGCGGGGGTGCGTATCGGTAATCACGCATAAAACGGAAGTTATTACCATATTTGGTCAGAAAAAGTGATATTTTGGCAATACAGGGTCGATGGCGAGAAGCGCCATCTACATTCGCAAAGACTAATCTACGTCCTCGAGGATGGGTTAGTCGTCGCGATATCGGGTAGGACGCTTTAGAGAACGCTTCGAACGCACTAGATAGGGTTGATACGCTATACTCTCCCCCTGCAGTTCATGATGGCGACATCGCTCATGAACTGACGAAAGTAGTTCCCCTCGTGCGTCTGACTCGGTGCTACACGTTTTCATTAGCCGAGGACATTCACGTCGAGGTAAGGGTACTATAGGTACCGCAGCAGTATTAAATCAATCACGATAAGGAGTGAGCTGCTTTGCATTTGCATTTGCGTTACCGTTATTACCATATTTGGTCATGAAAAAGTGATGTTTTGGCAAAACAGGGTCGATGGCGAGAAGCGCCATCTACATTCGCAAAGACTATCTACTTCCTCGAGGATGGTGGTCGTCGCGATATCGGGTAGGACGCTTTCGAGAACGCTTCGGACGCACTAGCTGGGGTTGACACGCTACATTTTTTAATATCAATGGAACTAAATAGAACACAAAATAAATTCTGAAATAAAGTAAAATAAACCGTATGGGTACGGAAAAATTTTAATTCGAGCTAAGGTAGTATCGACTCTTAAAGCTGTAATTATGATCTGAATCGTAACATAAAACACTTTAAACAAAACTGTATCCTTAGTACGGTGGGAGAAGTACGAAAAGAGCTTATTATTTTGTTTTGACTAATTATTTGGAAGAACTGCGGTACCCTCGTAAGTTCAAATGCCTGTGCCGCCATCTACCTTTCACTTTGATTTCTAAATAACGAACATTGTGAATGTTTAGAAACAAATACGTCTTGGTGATGACGAAGGAAAACATTATGATGACACCTGCATGTCGCAGTAGAGTTCCTCATGAAAGAGTTCGTACAGGGAAGTACTGTCACTTTACCTATTTCTACCGCTAACTAGTAACGTGAACATTATTGCGTTCCGGTATTGAAGGGTAAAAATATTGATGAAATTACAGACAGTCTCAAGGTGACTAGCGCGATGACAGTGTTTTTTTTATAATATCAAGTGACGGGACGAACAAGTCGTGCGCCTGATGGTAAGCTACACGTCTGTCCATAACAGTTGCAGTGCCACTTAGAGCTTTAAATCGCAAAGTTCTAAGGGGCACTGTTAAAGATGGGAAAAGCTGCTTATTTTTTAAACGTTTAAAGTTATGCTTTTTTAGAAAAAGCGTGCTTTTTTATACGCTTTTTCACTTAAACGCTTTTTAGTTAGAAGCTAAAATCGTTTAGAAAACGTATCAAGCGCAGAGACTTTTATGTTAAAAAAAGCTTGCAACGTTGTGTTGATAGCGAAACGCAAGAGTAGACCACTAAAGGTATTAAGATAAGTTTTTTTGTAAAAAACGAGTTATATTTTTATTATGACATAACATTATTATATTAACATTTTGTTCATTGGCGTTTGAAAGCGTTCAAAAAAATAAGTTGTTTAACTTTTGTAGTTGTTAACCGTTGAAATGGAAAAAACTGCTTATTTTTTTTAACGTTAAAACGTACGTTTAAAAAGCGTGCTTGTAAAAGCGCTTTTCACCTAAACGCGTTATAGTTTGACGCTTAAAAAGTCGTTTAGAAGAACGTTTAAGCGCATAGACTTACGCTTGCGCTTAAAATGAAAAGCGCCCACCTCTAGGCACTGCCACTGCGCCCTTCACCCTGAGACGTAAGTTGACAAGTATTATTATAACAGGAACCTTCTTCTACGTATAGGTTTTACCATGATGCTTTCCTACACCGTTAGCGAGAAGTATTACTGCTAAATATGTTTACTTACTTATCAACTGGACCAATTGCGATGGAATCACGTTATTTTATATGGCGAACGGTTAAGCAGTAGAATTACCTGCGTGCAGACTTATTTCCCGGTTCCTGTAGTAAGGAAGGTGCCTGTAAATTCACCAGCATCCTTACCCTTCAAAACCGGAACACAGTAATGGTGACATTACTGCTTGACGGCAGAAATAAGTAAGATCGCAGTAGTAGGTACCTTGGACGAACTCTTTCACAAGGACCTCTACTGCTACTAGTGTGTAAGAGTACCCCTCAGATCTTTGCGATTTAAAGCTGTGAGTGGCACTGCAACCGTTATGGACAGGCGAGTCGATTACCACCAGGCGCACGAATTGCCCGTCCAGTCACTAGGTATTATAAAAAAAATCAGCCTATCAAAGTATGTTAACTGTAGCTATTATATTATTATATTGTCTTGTTTGTTTTTCAGTATACAGCGACAACTCAACCCCGCTAATTATCTTAGGCGCAGACACATATCACTTATACCTACGTCACGCAACGTGTGCTGACGTTCTTTCCTGGGACACTCGAGAACACATCAACTCGTCTCTTCTGATGAACATACATTCCGCAGGCCCACGGATGATACCCACCTCAGTCACCGCACATCCACTGAAACCCGTGCTATTGATTCTTGATAATAATTACGTTGATGCTACGTTTAATAAAATGGCTACTTATCACCGAATTACATTTGTTGGCCAGTTGTAAAATTTATAAGACATGAAAATATAATTAACTGAAATAAAGAGAGAAATGAGATATTTATGATTAAATATTTTTCATCCATATTTCAATTTCAGTGGAATTTTGAGTATTTTATGTAATTATATATTACAGCTGCACTAATATTATTTTTGTTCAGCTTTTCAATTTGCAACTGCAATAAACCTATAATGTAGCTCCTGTCAGATAGGTTCAACCGGAAAATCAGTGCTGTGCAAACCAACGTAATTTAACAATAAAAAATCAAGCCTGCACCAACATTATTGTCAGAGTTTTGTGGAAAAGGCGAAAGGGCCATTTCAAAGAAACTATTTTCAAGGGAGCATGATCAACGAAACGAGATCTACAACCCCCTGGAATCGATTATTTTTATATAATATTTAGTTTGTTTAGTGTTAAGCAAAATCAGCCTATACTCCGTCAAACCATTTATTATACTTTTGATCTCAGCGTGCAGTTCCATAATTATTGACAAGCAACCATAGACAAAAAATGCAATATGAACTTCATAGACTGTTTTTTCTTTACTGTAGTGAAGCGACGTGCGATATTTATCAAGCCCACAGATTCTGGAACGAACATTATAGCAAAAAAATCTTGAGGTGCCAATATCGCGATAGTTACCGAAATGCAAATGCGTTGGTTATGTATTACAAAGAGCGGTGCCTCTACCACAGGTTTACTGTGACAGTTGTCGCTAACGAACGCGTAAATTACTTCATAATTTTTTATAGCAAGCAACGCTCCTAGCGGTCACAAGAAGAAACAACATTTTGCATACAAACATTTTGCGCGGTCGCTAGCGATGACCGTGACTATAATCTCATGGTACACCAAGTAATGTCAACATTACTGCGTTCAGGTTTTGAAAGATAAGGGTGCTGGTGAAATTACAGGCACATAGGACTTGTCAACTTAGTCTCAGGATGACGGACGCAGTAGCAGTGCCCCTCAGAACTTTGCGATTTAAAGCTCTGGGTAGCACTGCAACTGTTATGGACAGGCGAATAGCGTCCTGTCACTTGATATTATATATATATATATATATATAATAAGTGTTATAGCTAATAGATTGTTATATAATAAGTACAGAAATAAAACAAATAAATATATAAACAAAATTAGGAATAATTATATTATGAAGGAGGTGTCTGCAAACTTTAAAAATTCTAGAAAATTGTGGGAAATAATAAATAATATATGTGGCAAGGTATGTCATTCTATAGACACGATAATATGTAAATATTTTAAATCAGATCTTGGCTCACTGTGCAACTCATTTGCTTACGGTTTCGATAATAATGTAAAAAATATATGTTATGATTGTGATGTAACTTTATTAACAAATACTTACAAAAAACCTCCTACTGTAGCAATGAGAATGACACGAGCTAATAATAATGTCATAAGTACCATCATTAAACATTTAAATAAAAATAAAAGTCCAGGTATTGATAAGATACGGGTCCGGGATCTACAATGTATAAGCTCAGAAATAACACCAGTCATCACTCACTTAATTAATTGTTGTCTAGCCACGTCATCTTACCCGGATAATTTAAAGACCGGAATCATCAGACCCATACATAAGAAGGGGTCTTATAATGTTATAAATAATTACAGGCCGATTACAATACTTTCTAGTATTGACAAAATAGTGGAAAGATACTTAGGGACACAAATTAATAAGTTTTTAATAAGTAATAATGTAATAAATGACAAACAGTACGGATTTCAAAAAGGCCGCAGTACTTCTCAACTTCTATCTAAATTCACAGATGATGTCAATGGCTATCTGAACGCTCGCGAACAGGTACTCGTTGTATTCATCGACTTCAGCAAAGCATTTGACACTTTACGGTACAGTACACTGTATGACAAGCTAGAACAGAATGGTATACAGGGACCATTGTTGGATTGGTTTCGCGACTATCACACAAATAGGCACACACTAGTACGCTTAGGAAACGCTCAAAGCGACAAAATACCTACTGTTCGAGGTACTGCCCAAGGCTCAATTCTTGGACCTACCGAGTACTTGCTCTATGTAAATGAAATGTGCGATATTTTTTCCGAAGGTTCCGTATACCAATTCGCTGATGACACTTGCCTAATAACACACAGCAAAGACATAATTGAGGCGCAGAAGACAATGCAGCATAATTTTAATATACTTTGTAAATGGGCTCACGATGTAGGCTTGGTCATTAATGCCGACAAAACCAAAGTTGTTCATATACATTCGCCATATATTAAAACAACTCACGAAACTTCGATAACAGCGCATGAACATAAATGCTTGCATAACCGGTTCTCTTACACCAACGACGGCGCTGAGGGCGCGTGCTCATGTCCAAGTCTACAGGTAGTCGAGCAGCATGTTTATCTGGGTCTCATTATTGACAATCATTTTAACTGGGGACCGCAAATCGAAAGTGTTACTAACAGGCTCAGGTCTATTAATGCAAAACTTTCTATACTGAAGTTTAAGGTACCATATCACACACTTAGAATTTTATATTTAGCATTGGCAGATTCAATAATAAGTTATGGACTTACTAGCTACGGGCGTACTTATAAGACTTACTTAAATAAAATATATAAATTACAAGTCAACCTCCTAAAAACAATTGTGTCCAATAAAATAAGAGATAAGTATAAAGATAACGATCCCGGTCTTTTTAGTCACTGTAAGGTGATGTCGGTGTTTAATAAGTCAAATATGCTTATTATATTAGATAAATTTGAAAAAATTAGTTTACTAAAAAAAAGCGAACAAGTCAATCACGCATCCTTTCTTATCTACCTATGTACCAACTACCTAGGAGCAATAACGCATATGGCATGAGGACCGCGGAATACATACTACCTGCCATTTTAAATAAAATACCTGATTACTGACATGCAGACACATCCACAATTAATAAATGTAAACAATACCTAAAAAAGTACTACTTAAGTAACTTTTAGGCAGTATCAATAAGCGTTTATTGCGACGCATTCTTCTTTCGCTTAAACCCTTAAAGGATTTTAGAAAGAAGTCTTACCAATGTATTATTATGTCACTTTTATGTAATGAATAAATAAATTAAAAAAAAAATATATATATATATAATATATGAAAATAGGATATATAACAAACGAGTTCAGAATTCTCGCCACACATTTATGCGTTAAATGTAACCAAACATTTGTTTGTTTCCGTTGTTATCTATATATAAGACTTTTATACGTACGTCTTGTGTCAAATAAATTGAATAAATGCATAAAAGTTCAACGATTTTTGATGTTCCAGGATTAATACTATATATCCATTTTATCTACAGTGTAACAATAGTGAAGAGCCGTGGTAGCCTAATGATTTAGCGTGAAACAGAGAGCGAGTGCGGATCGGGCGCGAGTCGGGTCGGGGCCGCGGCAGCGGGTCTAATTCCATATATGGACGACAACACTCCGAACGCAGGCGCGGAACGGGAAATACACGGAATTAGACGCGCCGCGATCCCAACCTGACCCGCATCCGCCTCTTATTCTCAAGAAAAAGCCGTGGGTTCGAATCCGATCTCGCACCTCTGTGTTTCTTGGAATTTATGTGTGAAATTTAAATTTAAAAAAAAAATTAAGTTTGCCATGAGCTTTTCGGTGAAGGAAAACGTCGTGTGATAATGAAACCGTCGAAAAAGGACTCTCAACTCTCGGTAAACACGTGAAGTCCCCGACCAGCATCGGGCCAAGGTGGTGGACAATGGCTTAAGCCCTCGCCTGAGAAGAGACCCGTGCTCCGCCGTGGACGTATAGGTAATAGATTGACAACTATAGAATTCCCTGTACTACTATGAATACTAGATCAACGAAATTCCCTCCAGGGTACCTACTACATATAAAATTAATTTGCATCTAATTATCTGTATAAAACAATATCGATCCGGTATTGCCAATAAATGGAATGTCACTTAGTACTTACTCTCAAGGCAAGCCTTTTATATCGAAGCTTAAAGTAACAAGTCTACTTTTATGATTACGACAGATAAGGTCTTATCTCTCGTAACCATAATAATCGACTTGTCATTTTACGGCTGAACTAGTGTAGCAAAAATAAATAAATAATTTTTGAAATACACGTTACCCATAGAGGTAGGAAATTATAAGCGTTACACAAATATGGTAAAACACAATTTTCGATATTCTTTTTTTATTTCTATAATCCTATAATCCAAAAACAGGTGTATGGGTAGTGGGTATGGGGTAGGTACCCAATCCCCAAGTCCGTCGGATAGCTGATGTCCCGAATCACGAATCTGTCGAATCCAGAATGTGTCCTATACCGAACAAGGGGGCCTTGCTTCTCTGAGAATATCTCTTCTATCTATTCATTCTTCACCACTGGTATAATACATAGGGCGCACTATAAGTTTCCGGAACAGGCCATTTACATAAGCAAAATTTAAAAAGTAATTACAACATTTGAAAATGGAACTCTTTGGCTGTAGAATACAGTTTGTTTCATCTGACTGGCACTTGTTTTTACATTGTGGCATCATTTTAGAAATTGGTTGTCTACATCACCATGGATTTAACTCGTGAAAATTTTCGTAGTATGATTTTCTACGACTTTAAGTGTAATTTAACAGCTCAGCGGAGCTTCGCTCGGCTTCAAACTGCTTTTGGCGATGAAACATCATGCATGATGCCTATTTATAGCTGGTTTGCAGAATTCAAACGCGGTCGTGTGAATCTCAGTGACGAATTTTGCGATGGTCGCCCGTCCATTGCTGTGAACAAGAAAAACATCGATGCTGTGCGCCGTATGATCAGAACAGACAGGCATGTGAGATTCGGGCATCTTTAGGCATAGGCATGAGTCAAATACAATCAATACCACACAAACATTTGGGTGTGAAAAAACTGTGCTCTCGGTGGATCCCACACAATTCGACTGAGGCTCAAAAAACGGAACGCCTTACTTGGTGCAATGCCATGCTTACCAGATTCAACCAAGGGGTGTCAAATTTGTAATAATCAAATTTTT